TTCAGGAAATTATATTAATTAATTAATTATTAATTACACTATAAATTATGACTGTTAATTTTCGTTCATCAACGGCTGAGATGAGGAGTAAGACTTAAAATTCTTACTCTAGAGTCAAAAGAACCCTCCCCATATATATGTATATATATATACACACACACACATATATATATATATATACATATATATATATATATATATATATATATATAGTCTTATGTTGTTGGATATTGTTTTTCTCTCCTACTCATACATCAACTTTTTTGTTGCTTCTTTTTCTTTTTTTATAAGTGGGTGGGTCCCACACATGGTTGTTTCTGTAATATGAGAGAGATTCTCTCTCATTGCATGAGAGTAATAAATCTCATATATATATATATATTGACTTTTTTATTTCGGTGCAAGACTAAAAAGTCTTATTCCTAATCTCAACTATTGATTTCCGTTCATCTAATGATTATAATTTATTGCATTACACCAATTAATTAATTATTACTTTTAAATAAAATATAGTCGATGGATGATGGCTAGGATGAAGAATGAGATTTTTCAATTTTACATAGTCATATATATATATATATATATATATATATATATATATACATAACTATATATATATATATATATATATATATATATAACTATATATATATATATAGCTTTAATGTTTCTACTATAAACGCAAATAAGTTATTTATATTTACTTCTAAAATGACGTTATTTTGAGTTGAAAGATTAAAAAATTATAATATAAATACTGTTATAACCTTAAAATAAATTATAATTACAAAAATACCTTGATTTTCGCCTTAAAACGATATCATTTTGTGCTCAATGTAGATAATGTATCTGCATTCACTACAGAAAAATGAACCATATATATATATATATATATATATATATATATATATATAGGGTTTTATAATTTTCATCTTACATGAGAATTGAAAACTTATGTCAGAGACAAAAAGTGCTTGAGTCCCATATATTGGAAAAAATCATGTGAGGGAGTCACGTTAGCATGAAAATCGAAGGGTGTGTAAAAAAATTTAAATTCTCATGTTGCATGGGAATTATAAAACCCATATATATATAATAGGGTAAGACATAATATAATTTGTAAGAGTTTGTAAATAAAAAATTTGTAAATATAATATTTTTCCTATATATATATATATATGTTTATATATATATGAGAAAAATATTTCTCAAGCAGCTTGAGATGCATTTATCTTTGTCTATCCAAAAATTATGTCGTTTTGTTTATTTATTTCTTTATATTAATTGATTCACCTTTAAATTGTTATGATTCCCTTTTTTCTCTCTCTTCCTTTATCATCATTGATCCATTTTTATATGGTTATGATTTAGTAGCCGGAGATTAAGTTATCTCAAGCAACTTGAGAAACAATAAGCCCTATGTATATATATGGTAAAATCATTTTTACAGTCGTTTTACTTACAATAATGACAGATGTATAGTTATGATGCCCCATATTTAATGTTTTAATCCTTTGTATGGTTATGATTTTCCACATTTAATGCTTTTACGTATATATATGACAAATATTTGACTGCTGCATGTATATAGCAGCTGCAGAAATATAAACTCATATATATATATATATATATAGGGTTAAGATCATTTTACACCAGTGTAAGTTACACTCTCAATCCTGTTCGTCGATCCCACTTATATCTAAAGGCTCTAATTTGATACTTGACACTGGTGTCAAAGGATCCTACCTTATATATATATATATAGGGCTTAACATTTCTGCAGCAGCCGTAGATAGTGTTATCTACAGCTGACACAGAAAAGTGGGCCCCATGGTTTTTTTTTAAAAAAAAAAAAAAAAAAACTCAGGATCCGTTGCCGTATCCTAGGATCCGGACGCGGATCCTTGCTTGCTGTAGGTACAGCAGCTGCAGAAATCATTTTGCCATATATATATATATATATATCAAATTTGAAATCTGACAGCTCACGTGACTGCATATGAGCATTGGTACAATCACCTAGAAACTATGTCGTTTTGGTTGGGATAAAGGAAGTTTGCATTCAAAATTAATTCTAGAAAATGGAAATGTTATATTTATTTTCACCTTTGTATGGTTATGATTCCTCATATTTAACGCTTTATATTTATTTCCGTCTCTATATGGTTATGATTTCTCATATTTAATGCAAAATGAATTTAATGCTTTCATACTATAAAACAACATAATTTTATACGACCGCACCAATTCTTACTGTACATACGCTAAACCTATATATATATATAAAACAGAGAAATAGATTGAGAATATTGATCTCATACTGAAGATCTTGGACAGTTATAGGTTTGACAGTAATACTCTTTTCTAGTTTTTTAAGAGTATCTTTAAGATTAAACTTATTAGGAACCAACAACTCTTTAGATTTAGAAGAACTGGTTTCCAAGGATGATTTTAATTTTGCTAAGTAAGCTTTCTTTTCATGGGGATCACTGATTGAATCTATAACTTCGAACAAAAGATCTTGTTCTTTAGTTAGGACATTAATTTCTTGCGAGGATTGTGAGTCCTCACTAGCAGATAGATCATCTTCATGAATTTGATTTAAGTCTTCTGAGGATTCTTTTCCAGATTCTTCATCAGAGGGTTGGATTAGAAGATTATTGATTTGTTCTTCAATAGATGGATCAAGGTTTAGGTTATTTAGTTTTTTCTTAAGCCTACAATATTTACTAATATGTCCAGGTTTACCACAGCTGTAGCAAATAGTTGGCTTAATTGGTTTGGATGTATTTTGTGATTTATTTGTTTCAGTATTTGGCTTAGGATTTTCATTTTTAAACTATATAGGGTTTGTTTTTTCTAAAGTTACTTTAGATAATTTTATCTAATGTTCATCAAAACGACGTCATTTTGGGATGAAAATTATGGTGTTTTTGTAATTTTAATTTATTTCAGGGTTGTAATAGTCTTTATCATTCTAATTTTTTAATTTTTCAACCTCAAAACGACGTCGTTTCGATGAACATTAAACAAAGTTGTCTAAAGTAACATCAGAAACTTTTTCCCCATATATATATATATATATATAACCGGGACCACATACGTAGATTCTTCTGGGCTGTTTGTCCTCGCTAATCATAGATATCTGTACTTGCAGTTTCAGAATTGGTACTTAATGGATAAGGAAACTAGCTCTCGTGAACATATAGTGGGATTAATTTAATTCTTCCGCAAACGCAAGAAATTTAAAACACATTTATCCTACTTGATACTAGTCCTTCTTTCTCTCCCTTTGTTTTCGAGTAGATACATGACACTTTGTTATTAATTAAATTAGATCTATGGAATGGAGTATGTTATGAATATGAAAATATGGACTAAACTCATATTAGCAGTTTTATCAGGCTTTATGAAATGTACTAATGAAGCAGATAGTAATGAGATGCACATGGTCCAGGAAAGAACATGGCATCTGATAGGTTGTTAAAAAATAGTAATTGGGCTAATAAATGAGATCAACGAAATACAATTTTTAGAAGCATCAAGCTAGTAATCAGTTCACTGACGATATATATATTTTTTTTTGGTAAAGAAATTCACTGACGATATTATTTGGGCTAATAAATGAGATCACGTTCTACACATTTTGTTGCCATCAATCATCATTTGGGTGAGGCTTAGTAGTAAGAGACAAAAATCTATCACAAATATGACTCATACCTTCATAGGCTTTAGAGGCATATCTACTAGAAGTCTAGAACAGTTGAACAACTTATAGAATGGAGTGACACAAAGCCCAAGGGGGCGTTTGGTACAGGAAAAACCCGTGTACCAAACGGCCCCCAAGTGTTATCTGTTCCCCACGAAGCAGGCGAACGGGATTAAAAATAGTTTATTCAATAAAGCAAGTAAGAATGTAATTCTTCTTCTTGTTCCTTTGTAAGGGATGCACTATGCACATTTCAAATAAAAACATTATCTAATAGATAATGAAAGTTTGATAGGTTTAAATAATAAAATATTATTATTTTCTTTATAAATCTTCAAATTCTTAACAGGTAATGAATGTTTGGTAGGTTTAAATAGATATTGAATGTTTGATGAGCTTAAAAAGGCTAATAGATGACATAAGTTAGGTCTTTTGATTTTTTTAATATAAGTTAAATCAAACTTATAATCTCACTTACATTAAGCTAATAAGTTAGGGCAAAGTAAAGATTTGACATAGACTCATTCTATTTAGACCAAAATCTAATATATCCTAACCTATTTTCATCCCTATTTACCATGAAGCATTTATATTGATTGGCTATAAATAACAAAGAATAAAGAATCCTATCCTCAAATTTTATTCTCTTATTAATCATAGAAACATTATTATATTTTAGTAATGCTAAGATTTTTTGTAGTATACTTACAACATGAAATTAGGAAATTTGAAATTAATATTTGGTTATGCTATCATATTAATAATAATGTGCTTGGTTTAAAATTTAATCTAACCAAATTTTTTAAATATATTTAATATATAATCATATTCTTTGGATATGAAATTAAAAAGTTTTATATTATATAAAATTACGTATTATTTCACAAATATCGCGAGTAAATGAGTATACGGTTTTTTATAATTTTAATTGTTTTTCTTAAATATTTTTAAATTTATATTTTTTTCAGTTTTACCTAAATTTAAAAATATCTGTACAATGCCCTTGTAATTTCTTGTATATATTGATATAATAGAGGGGAGGGGGGGAGGTATATTAGCTCCACTGGTCCGGCAGCTGATTTTTATTATAATTCAATGTTCACATTCTTTGTCGACTCTTCCATCGTCCTATGTAAAAATTTGGAAAAAAGACATAGCAACCGTAATTCTTGGCACCCTGTCTGTTTGTCACACACCGAAAAAGAGAAGAGCATAAGCTGACCAAACTGGCCAGGCCTACCACAATTGACAGTGGCACGGTGCACATAACGTTCAACGCGTTGGCACTGCCATGGTGCCTATAACTTCCAACATTGAAGTAAGGCTATGGTCAAAAATTGCGGAAAGTTTGTCCAATGTTATGTGATTGTCCGCAATAGAAAAGAACAACTGATAGCTAAGTATAGCCCCTCGCTTCTATCAAAGACTTTTGGCCGATAATACACTACCAGCCCTTATATGCACAATACATTCAAAGCTCTCTACCTCCTCTCTTTTTTGGTACTTTCTAGTTATGCTATAGTCTTCTCTTCTTCCTATGATTCATCATCTTCATTCCATTGTCTTAACCTCAACAACACGTTAACATGGTAATATCTATTTTTCTTGGTTGTAGAATTTCTTCAATATATTTTTTAGAAGGTTAATCTTTGTTGTTAGGTTGGCCTCAACTCCATCAACTCAGTTCCTAATTGGCTTCTCATTCTTGAGGAAGAGAAATTTTTTACTCGTTGTTTGATTCATGACTCAGTAAAGAAGAACGAAAAGAATATTTTTTGCTTAGATTGCTGCACGAGCATTTGCCCTCATTGTTCGCCCCTTCACCGCACTCACGTCCTTTTGCAGGTGGAGAAAAATTTTGCTTACAAGAATCAAAGACATTAATTTTTCAAACCATTTACAAACAATGCCTTGGTGTTTAAAAGTACACGGTTCTGTTTCTTTCCTGTGTGACAGATACGAAGGTACATGTACAATGACGTATTACTGCTTGTAGATGCTCAGAGATTGTTAAATTGCTCCCTTGTTCAAGTAAGTGAAAGCATTAATGTTGAAACATAAACAAAATATGACTTATTAATGTTTCTATTTTTTTTTTTGTTCACTATCTTCAAAATATGATTCTTTCCGATGAAACAGCCCTACACAACAAATAGAGCAAAGGTTGTATTTTTGAAACAGAGGCCAATCTCCCGCTCTCTTAAAGGCTCTGGCAACCTTTGCAGCACATGTGACCGTAGCCTCCAAGACCCATACATCTTCTGCTCTCTGTCATGCAAGGTTCAATTTTTGTTATTGTCTATTATATTCAAAGCAGAAATTCCTATAAACTTTTGAGTTTTCCATTTTGATGATAATTATCTCGCCTTGGACATCATCAATATAGCAGGTGCATCATCTTCTACTCGTTAACAAAAGCGCAACCATAAAGGACTCTAGGAACAAGTATAAATTCTCTGTTCCACTAGTAGACAAAGAAAAAAGCAGTGAGAATCCCCATGAATTTGAAGACAGCCAAATCACCCCAGATTCGGTCCTAGATTCACACATGTCGACGCCGCTATGCACTGTGTCTGGGTCAACAAGACCTATTAGTTGGGGTATGGCAGAGAGCTTGAAGAGGCACACTAATTGCGCTGCCAATGTCCCTGCTGAATTACTCAAAAAGAAACGTGGCAGTGTTCACATGGTGCCACGGATTTGGTGCTCACCCCCAACGGAGCAAGCCACCGCGGTGAACCGGCGGAAAGGTGTCCCTCACCGATCACCATTGTACTGAAAGCATGTGCATTTATGTATCTACTTGGTTTTGTGATTCATTGTACATTTTGATTCTTGTATGCCTATTTTATAACCCTTCTTGGGCATATAGAAAAGAATAGAATGCTGCACATCTTATTATCAAAATAGATCAAAGAGTTACTCTATTGATTGGGTTTTTGGCAATTTTAAATGATTTATCTTAATTAGCCTAGGCTTGTGGGTTACACATCTTATTTCGATCGGTATGTGTATGTATTTATGTTAAAATGCTCAGAAATTTTTGTTTCATAGAAACAATTTATTGGAAGGACCAATTCAATAAATTTCTTATATCACGGCCACACATAAAGTAAAAGCTTAGCTACAAATTCGTTGACAATCATTTTCAACTTTAAAATGTAGAACAGTGTTGGAGCATGTGGCTTTAAAGTATAATGTGATGGAGGATCCAAACATCCAACACCAACTTCACACCAAGGCTTAAAAGAATAAAGTTAATTGTAATTGAGGTACAAAATCATTAGCTAATGATTTAAAGATGCTGGATGATGTATATGGTTATAAAATACCCAAACAATATAAAATCAAAATATGAGATTGTGCGTACCTTATTGAGTCATCACAAAGTCGGAGGAAAGGAGGGACAATATGCTAGGATCTTCCTCTCTATGACCTATTCCGAAAGTAGCAGCCTCAGCGATGGGAGCATGATGGCTCATGGGACTTAATCTCAATATAAATAAGCTAGAGAGGGGACCTAGTCAAACACTCTGAAAAGAGTTTGTGTCCACTGGGTCCACCCATCACGAAAATCAGGGTTATACTGAAGCCTACACTGCTGCCCAACTAGGCCCAATACCAACAGATGCCAAAAACCCAACTCAACATGATCACAACAGGCTTATCAAAATAATACAATTGGAATATTCATTAACCCGATTAATTTTAAAACAGAATACTAGTTAATTAATATTGCCCACGAAAAGGAAAATTTCTAACATTCTCCCACTTGGGCTATATTAATTAATTTAATATTATTTTAAAAATCATTTTATTTTGAACACAACTCTATCGGGTTAATAACTAAAAAATCATTTTACGTGGCCACGATTTTGAAAAACAATATTCCAATTCTAATACCAGCATCTCAACACAATTCAATCCAACATAACCCTATCATAGGAACATAGCGATCAATATACCGAAAATATCATAACATATGACCTTCCATACTCACATACAATGAGTATTACATCTTCATGAATCAAGGCTCAGTAGTGTAGTAAGAATTAGTGCCAAAATGTGATCAACAATATAACACATTAATTCTTATCGGTCCTCAATGTAATTTCTCAATAACATGAAATTACATTAGTGCAATTTTCAAGAAACATGAAATTATATTCCATAACGCAATTTCTCAACAACATGAAATCACATTACCACAATTTCTAAACAAAATGAAATTGCATTATCGCAATTTCTAAACAACATGAAATTGCATTTTCCAATCCAATTTCTTAACAACATGAAATTGAATTACCGCAATTTCCAAACGACATGAAATTGCTTAGTTTAAATAAACTCATGTCACAGTACATCATGAGATCTCAAAATTTGTGAAATTCAATCATCTTTAAGCTCACAACATGCTTAAAGATATCATTCATACATATATTTCTCAATCGACAGGAGAAATAACAATAATGATGATCATCAATTATAAAAATTCAAACAAAAGTCACAAAAATCATCACCAATTTGCATGACCAAAAAAGCAAATTGTATATAACTCTCACTGATCAAGGGAATCAAAAGGATTTAAAACACTCAAAAGAAAGCCTCGAGTACAACTCCCACTAATTAAAGGAATCAAAAGAATTTAAAGTACTCATATATACAAAGGAGGCTACTTCAAGGTATTTCCTATAAAAGCTTTTTAAATAAAAAGATTTTATTTCATTCAGTAAATCATCATCTTACTGAAAAATAGAATGTCATCTACATAAAGTACTAAGAATATACTTATACTCCCACATACTTTCATGTAGATGCACTTGTCAAATATATTTAAATTAATTCAAAGGAATTAACAAAAAATCATTGTTAAGGCAAAACGAGTGCATCCAAATAAATTCTATGGCAAAATACAACTTCAATTAAGGCAAGTTATTAGAAAGAGGCCAACCAAATAGTACATTTTCCTTTGGGCAGAATGTACATACCAAGGTTTAAACCAAGGTTAAAGCCTCAGATGAATCAATCAATGAGCATACACTAGCTTCAAAAATCTGCCCCCTTTGGGCAGACAGATCACCTAGACCAATGCACCCCAAATAACTTTATTACAGACAAGCTTCTAATTAAAACACACAATAATTCCTTTTGGGCAGGAAATTACATGAGATAACCAGAAACATTCCTCAAATTTACAAAATTTTACATGACAAAAAAATCAATCCCACTTTAGTGATAACACCATAGTAATTCGTAGAAACTCTTACAAATTTTGCCCAAAATCATGATGCATTCCAAAAGAAGGTGTAACACCTTCGTTGATCATGAGTTCAAAAACAATAATATTCTTAAAAATGTTTTACACTTAAACAGTTCAAGCGGAAGCATATAACTCAATAAATAAAAATATTATATAAATTATACATCTCCATTTCTTATAATTTGACATAGTCAATAACTCAACAATAAAATGATTGTTGTTGATGGCAAAAAAATAACTGATTGACATACACAATGCAACAAGATTAAATTTGGGCAACAAAATAATTTATATACCATAAACCCCCTTTTGGGCAAGGAATATAATGTACAAATATTTTCTATCACATGAAGATTTGAACAACTAGGAGAATAATATAATTATAAAAATTCATCCCCTTTGGGCATACAAAATTTTAAATTATACATATTTCTCCATAATACCACATGCAATTTAAAAATTGTTTATCCCCTTTAGGCAGATAAATACTTTTAAATCACGTAATCTAATCAATAATTTCTTCATGCAATTTTCCAAATTATTATATACAACAACCCCCTTTAGGCAGGTAATTAACATATAATAATTCAAAATTATATATCAATAATAATGTCCAACAACATGAAACACTTAACAACATGTGTTTTCAACAACATGAAATATTTCATAACATGTGTTTTCAACAACGTGAAACACTTCACAACATGTGTTTCTAACAACATGAAACACCACACATCATGAGTTTCTAACAACATGAAACACTACACAGCATGAGTTTCTAACAACATGAAACACATCACAACATGTGTTTTCAAAAAATTATATTGCATTTGTTGCCACAACAAATCATACAAGAATTTTTATTATATTTGTATGATAAATTACAACTAATGTCACACCATTTTTGTGATCCAAAGACTCTCAATATATAAATGAAATAATTAAGGGTGTTGATGCTAATCCCTAATTAAATGAAATTATATGGATCACTTGATATTAATTTCCAAACCCAAATTATTGCTTCAAACCATAGACAATAATACCAAAATATTCAAATTACTCATCTCAATATTGTATGTATAAGGAAACTTTAATTAATACATACAATCAAATCATTATAATACATGACATAAAAACTTGCCTAATTTAATTTACATGATGCATAAATATTAACTTTGTTCAGAATCCGTTATGCCCATTTACCTTCATTTTGGCACATGCAATTAATGCCAAATTATATAGTAATTTTACTCATTTTTATTCAATAAAATGATTCAGTAGCATTGCCAAATGGAGTAAATATTAACTCTTATAAGTTAAGCTATAATCAAAAATCTCAATTAATGTAAAATATAATTAATTGTGTTTAATCCATTGTCAGTCACAAGTCATGATGCAACTCACTGCAATCAATGAGCCTAAAAACATTGCAACAACGTTTATGCCGAGCCAAAAATCAATGACAGTGAACTAGTCATAAATGTGCCAATTAAATAAAATATTGAACAACCCATATAGTTAAATGAAATATGAAACCAATTTCACTAAATCTAAAATGTGAAATGTGAAAACCCATTAACATATCTCACAAAGGACAAAGTTTATTAATTATGGGACCTTCCTATGTGAACCTATTTCACAAAAGTATACAAAACTCCAAATGGTTTTCACTTATTTTCACTAAAATCAAAACCAAAGATCCAATAATTTAGAGGCTTAAATCATATGTGAAATCAGATGAGCAAAGGAAAAATCTAGGAAAAAAATTATCACCAATGAGATAAGTTTAACCAATCACATCATCAAATGGGTATGCAAATAACAACTTAAGTTATCAACAAAAAAATTAGTACAAATCTTCAAACAAACTCACTCCAATAAGTTAATCAATAATAACGTCCTCAAGTGATAAGGAGAAAGTTTAGTCCAAACAGAGATTATATGTTTTACCGGTATCTAACCTCATTTAAACTTTTTATTATTCAAGAAAAAAAGAGATTATATGTTCAGTATGCATTACAATATCAAAAAGGAAAATATATAGCTGTTTATTCTCGTCCTCTTTTTCAATAGAAATCAGAAAAAATATGTATATATAAAATATGATATATATTATGGGTTTGTTTTTTCTGATGTTACTTTAGATAACTTTATCTAATATTCATCAAAACGACGTCGTTTTAGGACAGAAATCATGGTATTTTTGTAATTTTAATTTATTTCAGGGTTATAATAGTCTTTATCACTCTAATTTTTTAATTTTTCAACCCAAAACGACGTCGTTTTGATAAACATTAGATAAAGTTATCTAAAGTAACATCGGAAACTTTTTTCCCATATATTATTGGTATAAAAATATTTTAAATGATTTAATAATGTAATCAGACATTATTGAATAGGATAACATTGTAAAAATTTTACTGTCATAATACAGTAAAATTAAACTCTTTAAAGTTCAATATGCTTTTAAAACCCAGGCTCTTAAATATAAGAGCCAATTGTTTGTATTTATATTTTTAATTGTTTTTGGAGATCCAAAATAGAGGCCAATAGAAACAGGGAATTGTAATGGCCCAATAACACTGAAATTGGGCCGGATAGCCAATTTGGTTTGGACCCAAGCCCAATAACAAAAAACACTGGTAATAGGGTTTTACTTTTAGGGTGTATTTGGTACAAGTATTTCAAAAGGATTACTGATAAATCTTCTTTGGTAAACCCAATTACCATGTTTGGTAGAAGGAACAAAAACCAGTTCTCGAATATTCAAGGATTACTGGTAATTTGATTTATAAAAAAAAATCACTATTTAGATTACCAAAAATAATATGGTAATTCAGAATACCAAGTAAAGGAAAAACACAACCATAATTTTTGAGACAAAAATACTCCAACACACATAAAAATCTAGACCCAATCTATCAATTACAAAAGTAAAAATAGTTTGGGGTTATTTTTGTAAAATAACCTCATATTCCAAGTCATATTTCGTTCTAAACCAAACATGAAATCAATAATCTTTATTCAATATTTCCGGTAATATTTTGACGAACCAAACACATTTTTCGTAAGATTTCAAGTAATTTATATTGTATTATCGTTAATCGTGATTCCGGATATAAAAATTTTCTTTTGCAGCAAACAGAAGGGTTCAACCGTTCTGCAATAGCAATAGCTAATATGGCTTCAGCAGTGAGGGTGGCTTCCATTGTATAGAATAGAAATAAAGCGAGTTGCAATTGAAGCTTTGAAAATTTGATTGATTTCGGTGAGGAACATCCCTCACCATCAACCACCATGTGGATGTCACCTCGAATCTCATATCTCATGTGAGTCTCTCTCTCTCTCTCTCTCTCTCTCTCTCTCTCTCATAGCTGTTGAAGCTCAATTTCTTAGAATATTGATGTTGCTTTGTGCTTAGGTTGGTAGATTGAGTAAATTAGAAGTAAGTAATGTCGAGGTTAAGCATGGACGTTGCTGTTACAGTCTAATGTCGCCGCCTCCTCCAACCCCCGATTTGCAGGCCTCAAAGCCACGGGTATCTAACATTCACAGTTATTTTTCATACCATACCTGCTTCATGCCATACATAGTTTGATTAAACTTGCTCGCAGACAAAACTTCATCATCCTTATTACAAAGCTGGAGATATACCAAATAATTGTATTGGGGAAAATGTATCTAGAAAAGACAAGTCCAAGTATCTTCTCACTACAGTAAGGACAATAATGTGTATCACGCCCAATAAATATATTGTGCTTTAAACCTTGTCAATATCTGATTTTATTTATTTATTTTTGTGAATTTGTTGGTTTGAACCAAATAATGCAGCTTCTTGATCTCAACGACAGGAAGGAGGCTATTTGTGTTGCTCTTGATGCCTGGGTTGCCTGAGAACAAAATTTCCCCATCGCCTCATTAAAAACGATATTGAATGTTCTTGAAAAGAAGCAGCAGTGGCATGGGGTTGTTCAGGTATGCCCAGTGTTTTCTTCTTCTTCTTCTTCTTCTTATTATTATTATGCATTATCTCTGTCAAAATGAAGCATGTCCAAGAACGAAAATGAGCATGAAAGAGATGCATTACAACAAATGAAATGAAATTGGATAACATAGGCTTAATACAGTAACAAAAAAGCCAAAGACTCTGAAAAAGATTACAAACTTTTAATGAGTCTAACTCTGGTGATGGAAGTGCATGTATGTAAACAAGTCAATTGCCAACATCAAGTGATTTAACATTTAAAATGTATCTTTCTTTTCATAGACTTCTGTTGGTTGGTTAGATTGTTATGTAGTACTTTTAAGTTTTGAAAATAAAAGATATCGTGCTATGGAGTTTATCGATTTCATAAAGCTCAATTTATTTATCCCAATGACCAGCTGCTTTTTTTGTTCAAAAAACTGCCAATTTTATTCCCTTCTTTGTTTTGCTGATAAAGTTATAATTTGATAGTTTTTCTGTGCGATGTCTTGATTTTGACCTGATCTGTTTGAGTGTTGTTTTAGAATGTATTGTGAGTTTGGAATAGATAAAGATTTTGGGGACCAATTTACTTTTTTAATTTTTGGGGAAAAAGAAAGTCCAGTTGACCTCAGTATTGTTAGGTAAATTAATCTGGTGCTTTATAACTTATTCCTCTTCAAGGTAATTAAATGGATGCCGAGCAAGGGGCAGGGGACCACAATGGGAACATATGGTCAATTGATACGAGCTCTTCATATGGACCGTAGAAAAATATAAAATTATTAATGTAATTTTACTCAATAACTTAATTTTTTGAAATGAAATGATATTTTTCAATGAGTTAGAGATGACATGATTAAATTATAATCTTTAATCCTCATTGCCCTCATTCTACTAATAAAAATAATTAATTATGTTTCTTAGCACAGGTAAGCCCTCCGTCCCTATTCTATTAATGATAATAGTTAATTATCGATAATTTCTTAACATAGATAGACACAAATGCATCATTCACCATTCAAAGCTCGATGGAGTTTCTTTTGGGTTGAATAGTTATTTATAGAGGTGGCAAAACAGACTCGGTCCATCGGGCCGGCCCGCCTTGCTCGCAAAACAGGACGGGACGAGCTGAGTTTTTTAAATCCGCTGCCTGCCAGCCTGCCCAGGCTGAATTTTTTTATTTTATTTTTAATGTAAAATGTCACGGACTTTGGAAGGGCGGGGCGGGCGGGCGGGGCACTTTGTCACCCCTAGTTATCAAATGTTTATTCACATCGGACGTAAAAAATTGTTCAGTATTTATTTGTTTACATTTTCAATACAGGAGGGAGGAGAAGTTCCAAGTTGTGATAAAATTAGTTGCACGACCAGACCTTCACCATGTAGAATTGTTTTTGGAGGGGAGACAAATTGATGCTCCGCTGGAAGCTATTGATGCTCTTGACTGTGTTCTCGGTGCACCACGTGCTACTAGGTAGGGGTGTAAATGGGCTGGGCTGGGCTGGGTTTTGGCCATCCTAGCCCAAACCTACGTCAAAAAAAATTCAGTCTATCTGGCCTACTGGCCTATTAAAGACTTTATTTGTAGGTCAAGCCCGACCCATTTTCAAAAATAAGAAAGCCTGACATGGCCTACAGGCCTTATAGGCCTCCCACTATATATACTAAGCAAAAAAAATAATTGTATAGAGCAAAGAAAGTTCCATTCATGCATGCACTAGTACTTCTCATAAGAAAAAATGACAAACAAGAAATAGTCAACATAATACCTCAGTTCTAGAATGTATATCATAGAGGAATAGAGTCAAAGAAATGGGAAAAATAAGAAAAATACAATTACTGGATGCTGAAATAAAGTCTACAAGAGAATGTCATTTATCTAAAAATCTTTAAACCACCGTCAAGACAAAAGAAAGAAGAGTATTATTGAAAGATCTTCATCAGTAACATCATAATCCAGCAAGGTACCCATTGCTCCTTGGTATTAAGCTGCAACAGCATGTAAAATTTGGAGACATTAGACAAGTTTTCATTTCATAAAATAAAATAGCACAAAAAGTAAGAGATATTGGTATTTGGTACTTTGTGTCTTTGCCACATAAAATAAATATTATTTTATTTTAATAAATTAAATAGGCCAGCCTACAAGGCTGTAGGCCGGGCTTGACAAAATTGGCCTATGGCCTATTTATTAAAAAAAAATTTATATAAGCCTAAGTGTACTCTACTTTTCTGAAAGGCCGGGCCTGGGCTGAGCTCAATGTAGGCCGAGCCGTAGGCTAGGCTGGGCCAGCCTGGCCCATTTACACCCTTACTACTAGGTATCTGATACAACTTTTGTTTCCACTTTAGATACAAATTTTTTATTTCCATTTTTATTGACCAAAGTGCCCTTATTTAAATAGAATTACCAATGTATCCACTTTAGAAATTATTATTATTATTGGGTGAAGCTCTAGCCTATAAAATTTTTAAACATGTTAAGGGGCAAGAATATATTATTTTAAATCATGTTCTAAACATGTTCAGTATAGATCCTTTTTTATTGTTTAGTTCATTTTGGCTCATCTTGTTGTATACGGTTTTGCTAACTGAACTTTTGATGTCATCACAGGTATTGCCGATTAGGAAGGTCGTTCTATTCACCCAAACTGGGTAAAAACACATCTAGGTGAGGGATTGGAAAGTTGAGATGGTTTATTTCAAAGTTTTCGTCCCCTTCAGATGGGTTTATCTCTGAATGTTGGTGCGTAATATCACTAATTCTTTATTTCTTCATTTTTATAAATAAATTCTTTTGACAAATCAATTTTTCTGAATATGTTCATTTATGGATGTTCAGACGTATCCTCCGCTGTTTTTATCGAGTCATTGCCAGTTATAGACTTTGTAAAATAATGGCTGAAAATGAATGTATCCAACCAACCACTTTCTTATGCTGATCGTGCAAAGGTTTTCCTGTTCAGCAGTTGTTTTACAAAGTCTATAACTGGCAATTGCTCAATAAAAACAGCGGAGGATACATCTGAACATCCACAAATGAACGAGAGAAACTTCAGTACATCAGTTGTATGTCATTGGGTACTCATTTTTTCCAATTTTGAAAAGATTCTTTCCATTCTACTCCTTTACTTTATTTTTGTTCCCATTTTAGTCCTCAAACACTTTCTTTTCTTGGGCAGATGTTCCATACATCGGATGTATGGAAGATTTTTCCCAAATGAACATATTCAGAAAAAATTGATTTGTCAAAAGAATTTTTTTATAAAAATGAAGAAATAAAGAAAGCAGTACACAAATTATTGTGATATTACGCACCAACGTTCAGAGATAAACCCATCTGAAGGGGACGAAAACTTTGAAAGAAATCATTCCAACTTTCCAATCTCCTAGATGTGTTTTACCCCGTTTGTGTATGTCAAGGTAACCCGGTCTAGGGCCACAGTGAGGGCAATGGAGAGGCTTCACGGATTTAGAAGAAAAACAGGCCACAGTGAAAAAGATATGCATCAAGCAGCCCTATTCTTCTAACATGTGTCTTTAAAGTGTAATGCAATGGAGGATCCAAACTTCCAACACCAACTTCAAACCAAGGCTTAAAGAATCAAGTTAATTGTAATTGAGCTTCAAACTCATTAGCTATGTCTTTCTTTCTTTTTTAAAATGTGAACAAAAAATTAGCAGAAATCTTCAAACAAACTCAATAACTTCCTCAATATATATAAGTGATCTATTGCTTAAAGCGAGATCTCATGAATTGCAGCAGGATGTCTGAGGATTTAAGTGATCTATTGCTTCTAATAGCACAGGGCCGCATGTACAAGGTGTTAACGATTTAAAAAATAGTAGTATCAAGTGCTGCATGTAGAAAAGTTGACTGGGTATCAGCTCTACAATGTGCGAGTACTAAGTCCATTGTGTTGCGTGGATCCTAGTGTGCTACTTGTGTCAAGGGCAGAAGTATAAGTTCAACAACTGAATATTTCACATCAAGTGTGTTTTCCGTTATGTATTAGACCAAAGTTCTCCTCCAAGTTCAGCTATTATGTGATCACGTCGTTATCACTTTTTATTAATGGATGACTTATTAAAAGTATTATGAACATGTAATTATATGATTACTTTTAAATATCAATTTTTCTTCTTTTTTTTGAAATCGCACTGTAAAACTGACTTTATGATCATTATTCTTAACACTGAATTGTGAGCAAAGCACATCACTAACTTGGCTTAGGGTTTGTTACAACATCAGATCAGATAATTATCAAAATCCCGTTGAGCTTGCAGAACTAAGTCATCATCCTCCCACTCGTCACGGTAAGACTCAGATCGCAAGAGCCTGTTCTTAGATGTGGCCATATACATTTGCACAATCCATTCTTCAATAGCAGGAATTCCACACTGATCGGCAATCCAGTTATTGTAGTCCCACTGCAGCATTGACACAATCCCACATATATCAGCTGCAATATAAGTACGTCTTGATGGATGATTTAGAATTTAGATACGCATAGACAAGAAGGCACAATCAAACAAAAAGTTGAGGAATAAAAAAAAAAAACACAAACCTGAAAATGGCCCATATTATGAGTATAACTCTTAGGAGTGCCAGACGCTTCAAGTGATGAGTAAAAAGCTTCAATATCTTCAACCATCTCCTCTTTTGAAGGAAGTGCAATGCGATTAGACAAAATTCCAGCTATCCACTTGCTTTGCATTTCGAACATGGGGAAGGGAACAACCTGCTAACAATTTCATCCATGTATTAATATTAAGTCGCTTATGAATTGAACAGTTTCGAGTTTTTGTTTCAAGGAAAGGACGACAAAGAACTATGACATGGGAAGTGGGAACAACCTTCCAAGGCAACCCAACAAATGAAAGCCATGGAGCCAACGCCGGTGGAAAAACATGCTTGTAGAGTGGTCCTACACGGTTGTCATCCACAGTCACCGCGCCATTGGTTTCAAGGAAAGGGAAATCATACTTGTACCTGGAAAAGAAACAAATGGGCGTCAACAATGTTTCACCTTTTCTTTTCAATAATCTGCATCAGTTTTGTATCTCAATTGAAGGCTATGCTATGCCAAAATAAATTGGGGTCTTCAAAAAAAAACTGATGGATAATGCTCAGAATACCCTGTGCAATGTACAATGAAGTCAGCACCAACTGCATTTCCATCTTTAAAAACCACTGAACCATCTTCATGAACGCTGTCAATCTGCATTTTTTAACAAATACTTGCGCTTCAGATCAACCATTCTAGGCAACAGTTGTCAAATCAATTGATGGATACTCATGATGATTGCCATCAAATTCTCACCATGGATGATGAGTTTTACCATAGAATGAAGCCACATGTTATCATGACCAGGCATCTTTCCAAGCTTATCTTCTTCAACTGACCTAGCAGCAATGTGAACTTCTTTAGCTACTGTTGCAATGTCTCGAGATATATCAACCGCACTAGCAGCACTGCCTATTATAACTACAACCTGCGCAAAGAAGAAACGGAAGAACTAAATCAGATCATATCAGAATGAAGACGAAATCTTATCAGAGAGAGTTTTCCTGGAATTCATATTATTGAATGTTAATGATGAATGACTTACAAGCTTGATTATATAGTACAATAGAGAGAAGAGAAAATATGCGTGTAGTTCAAACTAACTAAGCTATAACTAAGCTACTGTTAAACTACTGTAAAACTGAATTCACAACTAACTCCATGAAACTAGGAACTAATGAAAATAGGACACGTCAGCTATTTATGTCAATACTATAACTACGTATTATCAACAATCTGTGAAGTCAGTGAGGAAGCCTTAGGAGCTTGAACGTGATCATGTATATTCCCCACAAGCGGGACGATGGATATCACGGAGGCCCAGCTTGCCAACCATAGCAGCAAATGGAGCTGGATGAAGGGCTTTGGTGAAAAGATCCGCCAATTGAGCAGAAGAAGAAACTGGAAAAAGACGCAGCAGACCAGAGTGCAGTTTCTCTCGAGTGACATGGATGTCAAGCTCAATGTGCTTGGATCGTTCATGAAGGGTAGGATTCTTGGCTAGGTAAATGGCAGAGACATTGTCACAGTATACATGAGCAGAGTTACATGGAACATCAAAATCTCGAAGGAGATAAGTAATCCATTGAAGTTCACACGTGATGGATGCAAGTGCCCTATATTCAGCTTCACTAGAGGATCGAGACACCGTTGGTTGCTTCTTGGAACGCCATGCAATTAACGAAGAACCAAGAAAAACACACAAGCCAGTGATTGACCTCCTAGTATCTGGGCAACAAGCCCAATCAGAATCGGAGAAACCACTTAATTGGAGAGAATTATTGGAAGCAAAAAACAAGCCTGTACCAGGACACCCTTTAATGTAGCGCAACACACGATTAGCAGCAACAGAGTGGTCTGAGGTGGGGGCACTAACAAACTAACTTAATTGTTGAACGGGAAAGGAAATATCTGGACGAGTAGTTGTCAAGTACAACAATCGACCAACTAAACGTCTATAGGAGGAAGCCTCAGGTTCAGATAGTAGAGTGCCAGTAGTACGAGACAAACGAGTTGAAGGAACCATTGGAGTGGAAGAAGGTTTAGAACCGAGAAAGCCAGCATCAGATAAAATTTCCAAAGCATACTATCTTTGATTGACAGCAATGCCAGTTTTGTTACGAGAAATTTCCAGGCCCAAGAAAAATCTTAGAGAGCCTAAATTCTTGATACGAAACTTGTTGTCCAAAGTTGTTTTAACTCGTTGAATTTCATCAGGACTATCACCTCCCAACACTATATCATCAACATAGATGAGGAGAACGGATAAAGAACCATTATGATGCTTAGTAAACAGAGATGGGTCAGCAGCGGATTGAATGTAGCCAAGTGAAACCAAAGCACTGGTCAATTTGGAATGCCATTGTCTGCTGGCCTGTTTGAGGCCATATAGCGACTTGTGGAGATGGCAAACTATACCTGAGGGAGCTTGAACACCGGGTGGGAGTGCCATGAAAACCTCCTCATTCAAGTCACCATGCAAGAATGCATTGTTGACATCGAGTTGCTCAAGTACCCAATTTTTGGCAGCTGCAATTGAAAGAAGTGTGCGGACTGTAGTCATCTTTGCAACCGGACTAAAAGTATTGAAATAGTCTACCCCCTCCAACTGAGTGTATCCTTTGGCAACCAACCTTGCCTTGCATCGTTCAAGAGTGCCATCAGCTTTATACTTCACTTTATATACCCATTTACAACCAACCGTGTGTTTCCCAAGTGGGAGCTGCACAATCTCCCATGTGTGATTCATGTCTAATGCAGAAAGTTCTGCTGCCATGGCTTCTTGCCAACATTTAAGTTTGGAGGCCTCAATGTAGGATTTAGGTTCAGTGATAGTGGTGGTATTGAAACAGAAACGTGCATAAGAAGGTGAACATCTAGAATATGACAAAAAATGAGACAAAGGCTAACGGATACCTGGAGAAGATTGGGTAGCTGAAACAACATGATTGCAATGATAATCCAAAAGATAACTTGGATGTTTCCTTGTCCTGGATGATCGACGGATAGGAGTAGAAGCATTAGTATTATTGACAGGAGAATGTGATTGTGTGTCAGGGACGGAATGGTGTTGTAGTGAATGATTGAATACAGGAAAATCATCAAAAATAGTGGATGGGGAACAAGGAAGAATAGGAGGGGTATGCTCATTTATAACAGATGAATTTACAAAAGGAAAATGGAGCTCGTAGAATATAACATTACGGGATTAAAATAATTTGTGGGAAGGTAATTCGAGGAGGAGATATCCCTTTGTTCCTTCTTGATATCCAAGAAAGACACATTTATGAGCCCGTGGGGCAAATTTTGTGCGATGTGAATGTAAAGTGGATGCATAGCATAAGCTTCCAAAGGATTTTAAATGGATAAGAGAGGGCTGCTTACCGTGTAAGACTTCATATGGAGTTTGATGTGTAAGGAGTGGAGTGCATAGGCGGTTTATAAGATGAACTGAATGTGCTACTACATAATTCCAATATGTTTTGGGAATGTTTGATTGAAACGATAAGGCCCTAGCAACATTCATGATGTGTTGATGTTTGTGTTCCACTATGCCATTTTGTTTTGGGGTTTCAACACAAGTGGTGTGATGAAGAATGCCTTTTGTTTTAAAGAAGTCATGCATAAGAAATTCTGGACCATTGTCACTTTTGATGCATTTTACATTTGTTTCAAATTGTTTTTCATGGAAAATGATGAAATGTTGGATAGCAGATCGAAAATCTGATTTAAACTTGAGGAATATCACCCATGTATATCTAGAATGATCATCAACAATGGATAGAAAGTATCTGTGTCCATGTATAGAAACTTGAGGAGTTGGACCCCAAATGTCCATGTGCAGTAATTCAAAACATTTATTTGAATTTGTATGACTTGGAGAAAATGGCAATTTGTGTTGCCTAGCAAAGTGGCATACATCACATGGTGATACACTTTTAGAAGAAATAAAAGGAAACTTAAGAGACATTTGTTTCATAGTTGTAGAGGAAATATGACCCAATCTAATATGCCAAAGCAAATGGTCATTATTATTACAAGAAATAGAATTGAAACAGGACTGATATGAATTGGATGCTACATTATTGGAAGAATGACAGATATCAGTATTTTTGTATGAAGGACCAGTGTTTGTGGATGGAGGATCGACCAAGACAAAGAGGCCTCCATGTTGTTTAGCTATACCAATCTTCTTGGTATGGATCTGTTTAATAAAACATGAAAAATTAGAAAAAATCAGATAGCAATGTAGTGTAGAAAGCAACTTGGTGATTGAAATTAAATTGACACAAAATTCAGGTACATATAGGACATCATGTAACACAAATTCAGCAGAAAAACAAACATTTCCTGCATAGGATGAAATGACCTTGCAACCATTTGGTAAATTGATAGACACAGGATTGATTTTATGAATTGAAACAAGGTTTGAAATAGAGGATGTGATGTGATCAGTTGCACCGGTATCAAGAATCCAGTACAACTGATTACCTTACACAATGTTATTGATGGATGTGTTCAATGCTGAAGTAGAAACAAGGTTGACATGGCTATTTGTTTCTGTGCTCAATGTAGCATTTGGTACAGGATTCGAAAGAATAGGAGTATTGGCAGAATCTTTGAAGTTCTGTAAAGTCTGCATAAGATCATGAAACTGCTTGGAAGACAAAGTCACATTCTGCATGTCATTGTTGATATCATCATTTTTTGTCAACACAGCACAGTTTGCAATTTTTCTCTTATAACCTGGGGGAAAATGAAGCTTGAAATAGCATGTCTCTATGGTATGGTTGTTCATTTTGCAGTGAGTGCAAAATTTTGAATCACGTCCTTGTCCTCTACCTCCATTGTAACTATTGTAATATGGACGTCCTCTGCCTCTCTCTTGGAAAGAATTTCGTCTGGTTTCATCTGACTGACTTAAAAACACCTTTGAAATGTCATCAGTTGAAACATTAAGGTGAAACTCTCTTTCTTGTTGAGCTAACATAGAGAAGACTTTATTGACATCAGGCATGGGATTAATCAGCATAATTTGAGATCTGACATGAGCATATTGCTCATTCAAACCTTTCAAGAATCTTATCGTGTGATCTTGATCTCTGCGAACTCGAATCTCACTGAGTGCAGGACAGTTGCAAGCCATAGGACATTGACAGGCAGGTAAAGGTCTCAAGTTGTCCAATTCATCACACAAGGCTTTCAACTGTGTAAAATAGTCAGCTATATCACGATCTCCTTGTCTCAGTTTGTATATGTCTTCTTGAAGATCTGAAATCTTGAAAATATCTGCTTGTGAAAATCGTTGTTTCAAATCTTTCCAGGCATCTTCTGCCTTATCGATCCACAGGATTGACTGAAGAATTGATGAAGAGATGGAATGATGAATCCAAGCTAACACTGGTGTTGCACCTTTGCCATCCAGTGTAGGTTGGATCCATTGTAGGAGGTGCTTGCAGGCTTCCATCAACAAAGCCAATTTTATTCTTGGATAATAGAGCCATTGACATAGCTCGTGACCACATATGGTAATTTCTTCCATCAAGCAGTGTTGATACTAGCACTTGAGAAGGATTTTCACTTGGATGGAGGTAGTATGGATGAGAGGGATTTGATATGAAATCAAAGGCTAAGCTCTGATTCGCCATTGATGATCAAGAAAGAAGAAAAGAAAATCTTAAAGCTAATGGAGAATCAGAGCTTCTTGAGAAGCTCTGATACCATCTTATCAGAAAGAGTTTTCCTGGAATTCATATTATTTAATGTTAATGATGAATGACTTACAAGCTTGATTATATAGTACAACAGAGAGAAGAGAAAATATGCGTGTAGTTCAAACTAACTAAGCTATAACTAAGCTACTGTTAAACTACTGTAAAACTGAATTCACAACTAACTCCATGAAACTAGGAACTAATGAAAATAGGACACGTCAGCTATTTATGTCAATACTATAACTACGTATTATCAACAATCTGTGAAGTCAGTGAGGAAGCCTCAGGAGCTTGAGCGTGATCATGTATATTCGTTGATATCTTGATTCCCAATTGTCTAGTTTTTATTTAAATATTTGCACTCGGTGCCAAGCCAATCAGTACTGTAAAAGATATAAAGCTTCAAGATTTAAAATATTTTGATAAATATAATATGTGCAATAATTGTTATTTTGTAGACCCCTCCCATAAAATATAAAGCATCATTTTTTTTTTAAAGAAATTTCTAACTTTTAAAAACAGAACTAACCATGTAAAAGCACATACTTGATCTTGAAAGGGCTCAGGTGTCCTATAATTATGGCTATGCATCTGCTTCCCTGGCCATGCATTAATGCCTGCAAAGATTCTAAATTATAAGATAAAACCAAACAAGATTCGGATAGAAACCGCAGTGTGTGTGAATAATGAGTGGTGAGGGGCATATAAGGAAAATAAAATAACCGGGGATATGAGCGAGACGAGGCTGAACGTAATGTCCGTTGCAAATGACGAGGGCATCGTAAATCTCATCCACACAATCACAATTGGATGATCTTGATCTGACCGTCCATTTTCCACCGTCACCCAACCCAGCAAAAACCACCTCCGTTTCAAGCCTCACCAATTCATCGATCTGAAAATCAGCAGCGAAATCCTTCAAATACATCAACACCTCTCTGTGACCTGGGAACCTTCTCGAATCTCTCCCCTTCCCTTCCTTCCTTCCGAAAGGGTAATCTCGGAACCCCATTACCTCTCGAGGAAGGTTCGTTCGGAGCGAATCGTACAGGCTCGAGTGGACCAACCTTCGCTTTGGGTCCAACCCAAGTGGCTCCGATTCCACCTCTGCAGTGTAGACCCACGAGCCACCTACTTGGTCCCCTCGCTCGAAAACCACCACTCGATGCCCTTCTCGTCGGAGCTCGCGTGCCGCCACTAGACCTGCGGCCCCGGCGCCGATCACTGCCACGTGGCGCGACGAGAGTAGTGGGATTGCCGTTGACATAATAGCGATTGATTTGGCGGGCATGGACCATCCAGCTTTCATCTTATAAGCGAAAGAAATGAGTCATCTTCACAAAGCAAGCCACATGGATGTACTTTTTATAAATATGTTATTTATGTAACTTTTTTTTAAATAATTAGACTTATTTTTAGATATTATTTACTCTTTTAAAAAGTATGTCTTACTTAACAAATACGACTTAAGTGTTTTTCATTTTTATTAAATTGATGAATCTTGTTATAGAAATACGGCTATTATTAAATAGTAAAATATTCAAATTATTGATAACTTAAATAATTAATTTGATAATTTTAAAGATGGAACTCGAAAAACAAAAAGGAAGTAAATTAATCCATAACTAATATAAGTCACTGTTACCACCTGTGTAGAAATAAGCGAAAACCGGAGGCGGGGAAATTCCATTCCCAACCTTGCATGTGATATGCATTATAAAACATTATATAGAAAACGTTAACAAATATAATATCGAAATCAAAATTAATAAAAAAAAAACTTATTTAAAATAAACTAAATCTAGAGAAAATATAAATATATTAACTACAAACCATTGGGAGTGGATTAGTGATTTGAGACTTGAATAATTTACATAAAATAATAAATTCAAACTTCAATACTATTATGATATAAAATAAATAAATTAACTAGGTCTTCAATTGAAAATGAAGTGTTGTAACTTGATTTAAAATTTAATTAATAATTTTATATCTTAAAAAAAATATTTCAATAAAAAAATGTTATATAAATCTAAATAAAGTGCCCGGTAAAAAATACTATGCCCGGTGAGTTGTATATTATCACGTAAGCCTTTCATATTACTATTCACAAGACAAATTTATCAAATGAAAACACAAGATTGGATGACAGAAAAATTCTTTTAAGTTTGCAAATATGAAAATGTGATTGACATTATTCAATATACGACACATTAATTATGTAATAAATCATATACTATCCCTCACTTTAACAATATTAAAAATATAAAAATTGATGCGGCTGATGTAATATTATTTATAATATCATATTCAACGTCGGATATTAATTAGCATATTATATTTAAAATTATTGCGTGTTATATATACAGACTCCAATTATTTAATATGGATAAATTAAATTAATGTGATTCGAAAGTGAACAATTGAGCTTGTGATGGTTAGGCTTATATTATGGTTCGTTTATAAGATTTTTTATAAAATGAGTCATCACATATGTCTCTTATTTCTCTTATAAGATTTTGTGGTTATGAAGTTGTCTATCACAATTCACAACTCACAAGAAGAGGATCTAAGGGTTGCTCCGTATATAAGCTAATGCAAAGGGGAAGCAAGTGTGTCTCATTTCGGTAATTGTTCTATTGTTATTGATATGGATTCCAAACAATGTATGTTTCCACATATCTCTAATCATAAATCTTTATATGCATTAATTCTTTATTCTACACTCATCAAATACTTCAAGGAATTTAGTAGTTATCATTGAATTGTTATATGGATAATTGTTTACATGCTGTAACATCCAAAATAAATATTAACGTCATATTAAAATTAAAAGTGCAAAAAAATAGAATTAATCTATTAGATATTATAATCTCTGTAGTCTTTTTTTTTAATCTTTGTAATCTATCCTTGCAATTGATAACTTTTCTACATCATTCATCTTCACCTAATAATCCATATAATGAATATTAATACCCACAAAGTATTATAATTGTGTTAAAAGAACATAATGAATATTGATAACCACCTCCGTCTTTATATGATGGCAAGATGTAATTTATAGACTGTTTGACCATTCAGGGGTGCTTGGATGTATTTTTGTTGCAGCCCTAAAATTATTTTCCGGTTAAGGCTAGGGTGTTTAGTTTCAAGGAATGCTTTTATATATATATATATTTTTATTTTTTAAGTAAGTTATGTGGATCCCTTTGGAAGCTCATTAATATTATTTTAAAGATTAAGGGCTTTGAATACTTGAGATCATGTCACATGATGCCATTTGTGAGTCCCCCAAAGGGAATAGGTGAAACTTGATGTAATTTGACAAGGGGCGAAGAAATTTAACTATGACTAAGTCACGATTCAAAATTAGTTACATAGCCGGGTCAAAGAGTTAAACTTTGTGTGGATACCGACAGTGGCGGTGGCGGACCCAGAAAATTTTATTTATGTCTGCATATTTAGTGGCGGAGGTTCGGAGGTTGTGCTCCCTTTTTCTTTGTAAAAGAAAGTTTTAAATGCATTAAAAAATAAAAGAAAATAAACAAGAAAAGAAAAGAAAAACTTCAACTTAACATTAAAAAATAGTAATCAAGAGTTATATAAAGTTATAGGTTCAAACCTTAATGTCATCATTTATCAAAATAATAATAATACAAGTTATAAGAGGTGAAAATATCATTTGTTTTATATGAGTTTCTTAATTTAATCATATATATATATATATATATTTAAAGTGAAGAAATGAATTATATAAACTATAAGGGTGCATTTGATTTGCTTTTATTGTTATTGTTAAATGATATGTTTTTATTAATAATTATAAAAATATTACATTGTTTTTTTATTATGTTTCCCAAATATTCCCAAATAGATTCCTAAGTGAGTATGAGCTGAATGAGTGGATACCGGTATTGGGCCAACTAGGTATAATGGGAGCTTATTGGCCCAACAATAAAGATAAAAACACTATATAAGGGTTATGATCCCCAATACGTCAAATGAACAACCCTAGTTTCTCTTCCCCATCCAGAGAGAGACGGCACACTAAGGAATTTGGTTTTAGGGTGATTTGACTGAGGAAGACTACAAACCCCAAGAGACAAGATCAAAGTTATTCCGCTGCAATGGAAACAGGTATGCCTCCACCTTTATATTGTTCTTATTTTTCTTTATGATTTGGTATGATGGATCTTGGCTTGTAGGTGATAGTTATCACCATAAGGTTTAGAGGAATTAAAAAATTCCAACAAATATTCCTTTAAAGTGAACGATGATCTTTTACTTCACCTCTTAAAGAAATATTTATTACAAATATGCAGAGATGTTATTGACTGCCTGTTTGTTTTGTTTATTAAGAAAGGCTACGGATGCAGTAGATCATCGTTCACTTCAAGGTTATGTGAGTAAAAAATTTTAGGTGTTATTATTTTGTTTGTTTGAGGAATTTTGGGTAATTCTTATGATCTTTTGGAGATTTTGCTGGATTAAATTGTGGGTGGAGAAGAGCACAATATGAGTTGAAAGGCTTTCCTTTCTGTTGGATGTCAACTTTTTGTTGGAGGTAAGTATTTTATTTTATTTTTGATTATTACTTAATAATCATGCTATTATTCATATCACTTTGTATTTCATGAAAGAAGCAACTATATTAAAGCATTTTGTCATTTTGTTAGAGAAAAGATCAGATAACATTTTCATGTTTTAATAAAAAAAATTATTAGAGAAAAGATCATACTAAAGCCAATCGTGCATTTGGTTTCATGTATTTTTTTCTTCTTCTTTGCAATGTTGAAAATAGTGTTACCTGTTTTTTAATATATATTCAGGAATTATTAATTTTCTGAGTATTATGTGTATGCAGCACTCATCATGGTTAGAAAGAAGCGAACTAAAGGAGAGGCACCATCCCCCACAAGCAGCATCCACGGCAGGAGAGGCATCACCCCAGCCACCACTACTCAAGCTACACCAAGCAGCCTCAGTTCCTCCTCATCCTGCATTATCTGTGGCCTGTTCTTCTAGGAGGCCTCCCCATCGCCCTCACTGTAGCGTTAGGGGTAATCCTGAGATTAGAAAGATTATTGTTAAGGCCAATCATTTTCTGAGTGAGAAACCCAAGAAAGGGATATATCAATACGATGTAAGTTCCATTTTACTGGCTCTAGTAATTTTTTTTTAATTCTTTCATTTAACATATTATTTGTGTTGCTCTCAGTTGATTAGGTAAATGAATGTTCTCCGTTTTTATTGAGCCATTGCCAGTTATAGACTTTGTAAAACAACTGAAAATGAATGTCTCCAACCAACCACTTTCTTATGGTGATTTGTGGTTGGTTGGAGACATTCATTTTCAGCAGTTGTTTTATAAAGTCTATAAGTGGCAATGGCTCAATAAAAACAGCGAAGAACATCCATAAATGAACATATTCAGAAAAATTGATTTGTCAAAAGAATTTATTTATAAAAATGAAGAAATAAAGAATTTAAGAATAAAGAAAGCAGTCCATAAATTATTGTGATATTACGCACCAACATTCAGAGACAAACCCATCTGAAGGGGACGAAAACTTTGAAAGAAACCATTCCAACTTTCCAATCCCTCACCTAGATGTGTTTTACCCAGTTTGGGTGAATAGAAATTCTTTCAAAGTTTTCGTCCCCTTCAGATGGGTTTGTCTCTGAATGTTGGTGCGTAATATCTCATTAATTTGTGTACTGCTTTCTTTATTCTTTATTTCTTCATTTTTATAAATAAATTCTTTTGACAAATCAATTTTTCTGAATATGTTCATTTATGGATGTTCAGATGTATCCTCTGCTGTTTTTTTGAGCCATTGCCAGTTATAGAGATATTAGTCTTAACTCATATATAAGTAAATATTTTTTTTTACTATACTTTATTTTTGTGAACTTATTCTCTACGAAAATCTCAGTATTCAGTGATGACAAGTTTAGCATCACCTAACCGAATGACCCGCTATTGTGAATCATTAATTATATGGTGGACGCCACCTATTTCTAAGCAAACACCTTGACTTTCATCTAGAGGTGGCAAAGTGGGCGGCCCGCCCCACCCCACCCCGCCCCGCCATCAACCCGCCAAAAAATGAGCCAGCTCGCCCCGCTTTTGAAAGTGGGCTGAAAAACTCAGCCCGCCCCACTCCGTTTGGCGGGTTGGCCCGCCAGCCCGAGCCTATTTTACACTGACCCGCCTCGGCCCGCCTATGCCTGCCATCAACCCGCCAAAAAATGAGCCCGCCCCACTTTTCAGATGGGTTGAAAAACTCAGCCCGTCCCGCCCCGTT